CTTTCACGTATGCCTCTGCATTTCGGCGACTTTGGTTGGCAAGCGCTTTTGGTCCCGAGTGACATGTTTTCTTCACATCCTCGAGATATCTGTTAACACATTTTTAAAACGCGTTTGAAGCTTCTCAGAGACCAGGGGTGGATCGTCAACCTGGGATGTGTTCGCAGGAGCCTCATCTCCAGATGCAGTGCCATGTCCTTCCTTGGGGGTATCTGTAGTCGTACCATTTGTCTCTACCGTTTTCCTACCTTCCTCAAGAGCTTTAACGCCCAAAATATCCCAGCTATAGGTTCTAGCGAAGAGTAGAGCTAGCGGTAAGTTGACATGCTCCTTATCGTAGCCAAGTAGATCTTTCAACACTTCAAGTGGAAACGGCTCCTCGTCCTTGTCTTGGTTTGGTTTCGCTGACGACTGGGGCTGGCGAGGTTTAGCACTTCCGTCGGGTCCCTTCCCGCTTATGCTTGGTACAGCATCCTTGCCCTTTCCGGTAGAATCATCAGGTCTCTCTACATCGTCTAGACTTCGCAGGAGTCCAACAAGCCAAAACTCCGTCACTACACGGAGGAGAACCCTGTGTCGGGATAAGCGTTCCTTTTCTTCTCGCTCACGGACCTCTTGTGTCCACGCTTTAAGCTGTGCTTTATCCGGCGACGTCAGACCACGACCCAGGTTCCATGCCAATCGTTTCGTAAATTCATCGGGGCCAAAACGCTGGTGAATCGCGCTCGCAATTTCAACACCGGCCGCAATTTCACCGGGTGTTTTGAGCTTACAGAGACCCTCGTAAAATGCCGATATAATTTCTGAGAGATATTTATGAAGCGAAAGCGAGCGAACGTCTGTGATGAACGTGGGGATGGCTGAGGCAGTGATTCCCGTGCGGAGACGTTTGATAAAGGCGGTATTCTTCTTCAGAGAAGAGTCCAAAGACTTGCTAACTTCAAAGACGTCTGTATCAAACGGAGGCCAGCTTTTGAATTAGCATCTCACCTAATCTTGTTAAGAGTTCAACCGCATGGTTGAAGAGAGCCTTCAAGCTAGAATATTGACAATACCTGTCTCTCCCGCCCAAACGGCCGCGTTTAAATCCCGGAGCTCTCCTATGACCATGTATTAGCTGTAATCCTACAAGAGAATTCGACAGAAACGGCGCAAAACTGTCGATAGCACACGTACTCTTTCTTGCGCGCTCCATGGTCCCCTCCTACAGATGCTTAGATCTCGTCCCGATAAAGGCACAACAAAGTTCCCCGGCTCTTCAAAGATACGTGGAAGGAAACGAAACGTAAGATTAATGTGCCACATTAGGCAAAGAGATTAAAGCGAACAGCAGCCTGAGAGATTGATAATTTGTGAGAACTCCGTACAAAACTTGCGTGTTGGAAGATAAAATGGAACTCGCCGGTTGTTTAACTTGGTCGAGTTACTAGTTTTGGGGCACTTTTTGGTGAGGTCACTCGGATAACGAAGCACTCTTTTTCTTCGCAAGCTGACAGCAAAAGAGTCCTAAACCCGTTTATACGGCCGCCACCAGTCTGTGAATATGCGCCAACTCATCCATTTATGTTATAGAGAAAAATTCTTCGTTATTCAATGCATTTTTTATCTTCTTTTGACACTGAAATTCGACCTTCAACCTTACGTAATATTATGTAATACACTCTATGGATAAACTAAGTTCCGATATGTTTGACCTGTTTGCATTTGATTATGGGTAACTTTATTACTCATCAGATCAGTGATTATACGGTGATCCCGTGATATTTTTACAGGGCAAAGCAATAAACTGCCTACTTCAGATTAGTCATGAATATAAACCATCATTTACGGAACAATACTATAATTACTATTATCTACCAATAGACGTGAGTTATTCATATATTTTTGGTTCGATTAATACGTATGCCCTTGCTGCTGCTTTATCATCGTATTATATAATTAAAGCAGCGAGCAATTTTCATGCCCAAAACGGTAAAGACAACGACATGTCGAAGTTTTGCTTCAGCTTTTTTCTTCTTCATCCTCTTTGTATGTAGCAAATCGGACTCTGGTCAGCAGCCTCATGGTGATTGTGCATAGCTTGCCAGCATCTCCAGCCGGAATGTGCGGCAATTCTCTCAACATGCTCTTCCAAGCAATCCCCCATGTCTACTCCGGTTAATACCCTTTAGTTTTGCCTTGTTCCGGGTCAGAATGCTTATCCCATGCTCTATGAAGTAAGTATATGTGATTATATATTCAAACTTTCCGCGGTGGCTGTATGTGCTTCCGCTTACATTTCTTTTGACACTATACTGGCGTATATGCTGCTCTCTTCCCCTACTTTGTGTCGACCGAAGACTTAGATAACTGCAAGTGGTCTACGCGGACATGTGGCCATGTATGGGCATGTCCCACTTGGAGATGGAATTTACATGCCCTCTTAAAAAGGGCAGTGCTAACCTGCTGTCGTCTTGTGAGGCAAAATCTCGGCATGTCCATACAGTTTGCCATAACTGAGACGCCGAAAACCGCTTGCGAAGAAAACTAGAATGCGCATGATCTTCGTCTGTCGAATTTTATCAAGAATATCGCATCACAGTACGGAAAGGATAAATCCCCCTTCCAAGTGAACGTAGTTCAACTGTGTGTAGGCGACAAGGGACGAAAGCCGTCGATCTTGGGTGTAGTTGACATAACTCCGCATGCGTATGGTGTATCCCTAAAAACCACTTATAAACTTCATGTTCGTGTGCATTGACCATAGGCAGTGACTTGGCTGTCACTATGGCGTGTGTGTATAGGTACTTTCAGTACCCATAAATATGGAAACTGGAGAAGTTAAGGTTGCCGTTTTTCCCCGTCCGAAATAACCCCTGGACATACCTGACTTGTATCTACTGTGGTAGACAGTGGCGTGTCTCGGCAGCCATGATCATAGCAAGAATTCCTCGCCAATATTACCTTCATTTGGACGATTCTCCAATTTTTCAAGATAACTGAGCTTGCCTGTGTCAGTGCCTGATCGATTAACTCCCTGCAAGTACATACTCAGTACAGGCACTGATCAGGTTCTGCCTGCAGCTTCTTGTGCCACCAAGACCAAAACATGATCTCATAATTGAGAAATAACTGAAATACGTAAGAGGTTTCATCCGACATTTTGCATATATAAGTAGTCGCTTTCCTGCTCTCAGTGTCCCGAGTTACCATCCCATCAATACCTACACCTCTCAAACCACCATCACATCAACCATGAATAACGAAGCGCAAACAAGTCAACCCTTTCACGAGCCCAAGACAGAAAGAGTTGAGAAACCAATCGTCCATAACCATGATAATGCTCATTTCTCGTCCGATGTATCGTCCACCGAACCCAGTCCACAGGTGCAACAAGACGAGTGGAAGCCACCACCCAAGACTCGCCAGTATAGCTTCAACGCACAGGAGCAAAAGCACAAACTCCAGAGCAGGTTAACTGGCCTGGTTAAGGGGAAAGAAACAGGTTTCACAGAACGGGACAACCGCTGATGTGCGCGGCTCGAGCACAGGTCAACATCACCATGCAGTCGCCTAAAATCGCCTTTTTTTTGTTGCTTTTCAGTTCTAAATTGACCATGACATGACCGTTCGTCGATTTTTGGGGAAAAGCGGCTTTCTAAATTGTTGGGGGAAAGAAAAAAAGAAGATCAATTAAGAGTCTTTTAGCGTTCATATCTGTTTCCAGAAAAAAAAGTGCATGTACACTTTAAGTCCAGCCAATATAAGCGGTAGGACATAATCTATCCCCATTAAACAAAAGATATTGCCGTCTAAATAACAAGACCTTCAAGAAGTATTAAAAAAATAACAAAAAAGAATGGTACCCAGTGAAGATTTCAAGAACGGTAAATCGATTTAAGTAGTTGGGGAAAGAAATCGTGAGACCCCCAGGCCACACTATATATAACGGCAGCCCCAATAGCCGCAATAGACAACATAGCCCGAAGTCCAATCAGAGACTCTTCGCGGATACGGCCAATGCGAGTAGTAGATTTCCCCTTTACAGAGTCATCTCCAGTCATACTGAAATCAGCCCAATTCACTCTTGATAGGAGCTTTTGGTACTCCAGTACATTGCCGGACCAGTTGTTGGTAATCAAGCCTTCTTCATTCTTATACCAGCTAGTGCAGCTTTGATGGGCAAAAGCAGTGGTGGCCAGGTCCTTCTGCAGCGAGTTATTGAATTCATCTATGCGATCTGCCCTTGGCGTAATCGTGAGATTCTGCCCACGCTTCTTGGAACGAAGGATGGCAGACAGTAGTGCCATTATATAGCGCGTCTGCGCTTCGATCATGAGGATAATTGAGCTATGACCTAGATTTGTGTTGGGTCCGTAAAGCATGGCGAAGTTTGGTAGAGACTCAATGGTTATACCGTACAAGGCGCGTGCACCGTTTTTCCATATATCAGTGAGCGAGCGGCCATTTTCGCCGTAGACCTTGATAGGATGCATAAATTCGACAGTGCGGAAACCAGTGGCGAGTATTATCAGGTCGAACTGTTGCTCGGCACCATCTACTACGATCCCAGCTTCGGATATGCGATCAATATGGCCTGTTTCGAGGTCCACATTGTCCCGGGCCAGGGCAGGGTAGTAGTCATCACTAGTGATGATACGTTTGCAGCCTAGAGGGTAGTTTGGGGTTAACTTCTCCCAAAGCTCTGGCTTGTTTGCGAGTTGCCGTTTCATAATGCCTAGGCAGACACGTTTCAGGTAGTGGGATGGCTGAGATCCTGGCTTGAGGAGTGAGGCGAAGAAGCTTTCGCGGAAATCCATTATTATCGCGCGAAATTTGGCCAAGACACCTGGGATGTATCTAAATATCACTCTTGCCGGAAGTGGTATCGACATATCATAACGAGGCGCAACCCAGTTAGGTGTTCGCTGGAAGACAGTGAGGTGTGATACCTCTGGCGCAATTTCTGGTATAATTTGGGCGGCCGTAGCACCTAATAGTACCAATTCATAAGCCAATGCCAGGTATCTAGTTATTGTTATAGATGGAAAACTTACCATTTCCGATGATACCAACCTTCTTGCCTTTGATGCTATAACTCCAGTCCCATCTGGCCGAGTGCATGATCTTGCCATTGAAGGCGTCGATACCAGGGATTGAAGGGTAGTGCGGATAGTTTAGCTGACCTACGGCGGACAAGAGAAAGTCGGATGAGAGGGTATATCGTTCCCCAAACTCGGAGTCTTTAGTGCCTTCAACGTGCACCGTTGTCTTCCACTTCTTCTCATCTTCGTTCCAACGGCATTGCTCCACCACTGAGCTGAAGCGTATATATCTGTGCAGGCCGTATTTATCCCCAACGTCGTTCAAATAGTTCTATCATATGTATCTTAATTAGCAATTTGTGCTCCAGTGCGCAAGGGATGACGTCTACCATACCAGTAGCTCTTCTTGTGACGGATACAGTCTGCTCCAGTTCGGGTTTTGCGCAAACGAATAACTGTAGAGATGGGAGAAAACTAAGCGCGTCAGAATAGAACCAGTAGGAGGTAAACCTGTCAAGGTAGCCATACCATCACAGCAGCAACCGGGATACTTGTTGTCTCTCCATGTCCCACCCAAGCCGGCGCTCTTCTCTAGTATCACGAAGTTGCGGATGTTGTTCTTGAGCAAGCCAATGGCCATACATATCCCTATAAAAAACATGTCAGCGCCCATAGTCAAAGAAGCACCCGAAAAAGGCCCACTTACCAGATATACCACCGCCGATAATCACGATTCCAGCATCCGTAAAGCTCTGGTTGCCAACGGGCGACTGCCACTGCGCCTTTGAAGCCATCTCGGCCTTTATCCTGCAAATGGCTAATCGACGACGACCAGCAATCTCATCGACATCAGTCTTATATACGCTCGCTCGGCCGACACATCGACTCGTCTGCTTCTTCCTCTGCGCATTCCCCGAAATCAACTTGGTCTCCCCAGAAAGACCGTGAAGTGGACCGTCCGGGAAACTCATCTTGTACCGAGGTTGGCGATCAAGCTTGTGAGGCCGCCCGGTTCAACCTTTTGCCCGGCATTGCCAGCTCGAATCTTCCAAGATCATATCGATCGAGGAGTCACTTGCCTGTCGTTCAAGATTCGCGTTCGTGGCAATGTTGTGTGGCTGAACTAGTTGTTGCTGCGGTGGAGTTGAGTTTTGGTGGAGCGTTTGGCTGCGCCTTGGGTTGCATGTCGAAGGGAGTGGCTATAACTATGATAGATAGATCGTGATGTCTGCAAGCTTCTTCAAAGAATATAAATAAACACAGGAAGTTATAAGAGACGGAGACAGACATCGGCTACAATTGCATATCTAGTGACGACAATAAGATAATAGCTGCAATGGCAACATACACCGTCCAGCAGGGCGACTACATGTGGAAGATAGCCAACGACCATGGCATCTCACTAGACGCACTCATCGCAGCCAACCCGCAAGTCGCAGATCCCGCCGCGATCGAGTGTGGCCAAGTCCTGAACCTGCCCGGAAATCCTGCTGGCGGAGATCGTGCTCCTCCGCCCGCTGAGTCCGCTGCACCCGCTTCCGCCCCCGCCCCGTCAGCGGGGACCGAGCGCGGGGTGGTTAACATCGCTTCCGCCGTGCCTGGTCTACAGAGAGTAAGGCCTGGGCTGAAGACCGTGGGATATTTTACGAACTGGGTAAAATTTGACTATATCTCATACGCTTTTTTGCTAAGACATGATCTGACGCTTGTACAGGGCATCTACGGACGCAACTATCAGCCAGCGGATATCCCAGCAAACCACCTAACTCACATCCTCTGTAAGTGCCAGTCAGTGCGTCTTTTGATAGACAGCTGCTAATTATTATGTTTAGACTCGTTCGCCAATGTCCGCCCTGAGACTGGTGAAGTGTATGCAATGCTGTCAAGCTATACGGATACATTGCTAACTTGGCTCATAGTTACCTATCGGACACCTACTCAGATCTAGAAAAGCACTACCCCGAAGATTCCTGGAATGACACCGGAAACAATGTCTACGGGTGCATCAAGCAACTCTTCCTCCTCAAGAAGCAGCATCGCCATTTCCACACCCTCCTCTCCATCGGTGGCTGGACGTACTCTTCTAACTTCGCTGCCCCAGCATCCACGTCTCAGGGCCGCGAGACCTTTGCCCGCTCTGCTGTCAAGCTAGTTGCCGACCTAGGATTCGACGGCATTGATATTGACTGGGAATACCCCAAGGATGCCACTGAGGCGCAAAACTTCGTACTCCTTCTCGAAGCTACCAGGTATGAGCTGGACAAGTTCTCTGCAGAAGTCGTCCGGCGTCCGGATGGTGGTAGGCTGCTGTTAACGGTTGCTGCTCCGTGCGGAGAATCCAATTATGCTCAACTTCGCATGGCGGAGATGGATCGCTACCTTGACTTTTGGAACATGATGTGCTATGATTTTGCTGGCAGCTGGGGTTCTACCGCAGGCCATCAAGCAAATCTTTACCTGTCTAGAGATAATCCGGCATCTACCGCGTTCTCTATCGATGCTGCACTTAATGCATACATGGCTGGCGGTGTCCATCCGTCAAAAATCATCTGCGGCCTGCCCCTCTACGGTCGTGCGTTTGAGCAGACGGACGGACCAGGTAAGCCATTCCAGGGCGTTGGTGAGGGTTCGTGGGAAAACGGTATCTGGGACTATAATGCTCTTCCCAAGGATGGAGCAGAGGAGTATAACGATGAGTATCTGGTGGCCAGCTGGAGTTACTCTGCTAGCCAGAGAAAGATGATCAGCTATGACACGCCTCTGATCACCTGGAAGAAGACCGAGTATATCAGACAAACTGGGCTAGGTGGAGCCATGTGGTGGGAGCTGAGTGGTGATCATCCCATTAACCATGAGCGGAGCCTTATCAAGACTGTGGTTGATGGATTTGGTGGTACTGGTGCGCTGGAGATGCGGGAGAATAACCTGAATTACCCCACGAGCGAGTATGATAATTTGAGGAACGGATTCCCTTAAGCGTGTATCTTGCATAGGCTAGTTATGCTCTACGAAACACAGATAAGCATGCGTTACGAACTAGATTTGCATATACCTAATACAAAAGCCAAACAGCGCCGAAATACACAAGTAACCATAAAAGGGGTAAAAGGCATTGAAAATCGGGCATGTTGCTAAGGACTAAACACTTACATACGGTGGCGTAGGTAGAGGGGGGACATGCAGAGGGTGAGAAAAGTTCATTAACAGTGTCTTTAAAAGGGATAATGGTGCTGCGTGGCAGACAAAAAATAGCAACTTTAACAGTGCTGGGTATTCATCGGCATCAAATGGGCTAAGAGAGAATGGTGGCAAGCGCCGACGGGGATGTCTAATATCTAGGTGTTTTGGGAATAGACGGGGAAAAAGGGAAGACTAGACAAAGGAAATTTGAATTCAATTAAACATAATACAATCAGGAAGGGTTATGATGAGAAGAATGTCAGTATAAGTCATGTCATCTTCCATGCACCCAGGCCAGTGTAAACCCTTGTTTACACTGTTATTTGATGCTACACGTAAAAAACGTAAAGGGGAAAGGGGGATCTTTTTTTTTCGGTGTGGTTGGGTTGGGGATAATTCGAGGTAATTGCTGGAACACTAGAAACTCAGCCTTATTTTGGATATAGTCTAGATATTTAAGGAGTCTTTGGTCGTTTCCAGAAATATTGCTGTATAGAGTTAGAAATATAGCGAGTAAAGAACGTGGTACTGGAGGTATTACCTTGTGCTGCTTTCTGCAGTTCCGTAATCCAGGCTTTCGCAAATCGTTGACAACAGCCTGCTTTCTCATCTCATCCGTATCAAGGTCAGGGGTATAGTAATACTCGCACTCCAATTGTTTTCCCGCAGCGTCTTTGCCTTTGCGGCTAACAGTGCCAATGCACCTAGTCTCTTCAATAATAGCTCTAATATAGGCGTTGGAAACCCTGGGCTTCCTTGATGAACCCGTTCCAATAAGGTCAGCGGGGAGGTTGCTGACAATTGTAGAGAAAGGAGTGGAGGATAGACGTGAAAAGGCTAGCTGATTTACGATGTGGTTCTGGATCACAGAACGGGATGCATCGGTTGCATTTGTTGTTGATGATTCTCGGGATGCTGAGCCGCGTTTTGCTGGTTTCTGATGAGGAGAAGCGACAGGCGTGTCTCTGGCATGGACAGCAGCCATACGGGGAAGGATATTCTCTCCGTATGGGCCGAATGAAAAGACGATAGGGTCATTCTCTTCATCATGTTCGGATAATTCGTCCGATTTTGTAAGAACACTGGACATTGAATTTCTGACGTTGGAATCCCTCGAGACGGAAGCAAGCTGTGTGCTTTGGGATGTGGAATTCGGTTCGGGAGTAGATTTTTTGGGTCGTATAGGAGAAGGTTCGTCTTCGTATACGACGACAGCACTGGGTATGGAACGGCTTGGAGTTATGGGGCGGGGTGAGTCAAGCGCCTGGACGGCGGGCGACGGCGAGACAGGAGAGAGTAGTCTCTCCCTAGACCTGAGAGGGCTCTCTGAAAAGCTGTGACGAGAACGAGAACCCGCATTTCGAAGGGGTGAGGACTCATCCCATGTATGGTCCGATGTAGAATCCTTTCGTTCTGGACGCGGCCATTGAACCAGGACACGCGAGTCCTGAACATCGATCATCACGTCTGCATCCCTAATATCCGAGGTGAAAGTCTTTCCTTTCGCTAATTCATAAGTTTTCCCCTGACAATGCAGTTTAATGCCATTCCAACCCATACATAGAATTTCAATCTTATCCCTATCAAACGGGTGGCTTGCGGGCTTGAAGAAGGCCTTGACATGTACTCTTGATATAAGTCGGTTAGGAGAGAGTTGATATGAGCAAGACGCACTTGATCTGCCCATGGTGATGGGTTGCCCATTTTCCTCGAGCATCACACATGGCACGGCAGAGAGAGGGGCGCGCTCTGAGGTAACCGACTGCGTACGTTGAAGAGCAGGAGGTATACGGGAGGGCGAAGAGCTCAGAATAGCGGTCGAAGAAGTTGGAACAGGTGTTGGATATGTCGAGAACGAGTCTTCACCCTTGAGAACCCTTCGCTTCACTGGTCGAGGAAGCGGTGGTGAGGAACATGGTTCAAACGGCGGCAACAGTGCTGCACGCTTCACACCCGCAGCAGACTGCCCCTGGAGGACCTTTCTGGGAGGAGACGAGTCCATTCTGGCGGCAAGACAGGAATCGGCTCCCACCAGCCTGCAAACGTGGCCCTGTATAGCCTTCACTGGTGTAGCCCGTTCATATGAGTTTGGCTCTCTCGCTCATGCGGTTGAGAAGTATTTCTTTTATTACAGAACTAAGCACGGCGGCAGCAGAGAAACAAGATGGAAAGGGCAAAGTAGGGGAAATATTAAAACCTGGCGATGACCAGTGGTCAGAACAGAGCCTCCTCGGGGTCGTGAGACAATAAAAGGAGTAAAAAAGGGTTGTGTGGGAAAAAAGATCACGGTCAGGGCTCTCGGAGGATGCCTGTCATTAAACGTATACACGGTGGAGGCGACGCGTTTGGTGGCTGGACGGACACACCGTGACGATAATACCACGCGAAAGACAAGGTGAAACAGCACACGACGTCAGGATGCAGTATACAGCCCTCCAGCAACGCAGCAGGCTCAGCAATTCCCGTCAAAGAGAAATATTCAAGGGATGGCGTTTTTGTATACAAACCGAGCATCTTGAAACTTCGACGTTGAAAAAAAGACGCGCCAAAGACCTCGTGAGAGCACATGACTTGCTTAGTAAGTGATACACGGCTTATGTAAGTAACACGAACCACGCACTTTTCACGTGATATAAGATCTTATCTTATCTATAGATCTGGATGCGCCAAGTTTTTGCCTCTCCACTTCCCACTTTTATTTCGACTTCATCACTAGGACAATTATGTAGTCCGTTGTACATATAGCAATAGAATATCTAGAGGAGAGACCAGGATCCTGCTGATATATGAAATCAAATGAGACGAAATCGCATTGGTCTGGACAGATTAATGTCAATTGAATTCATGGTTCACTATATTTAGGTTTGCACTACTGCAGCCCATTTTGAAATATAACAGGGATACAGGGCCGTGGTCTGTCAGTCCAGATCTAGATATTCATTGTGACATCGAAATCCTAGGAACACACGATCTTTCTCTCTTTATGAGCTCAAACGGAGAAATACGATCAGGGGCCACAAAAGGTAGGTTTTTTCTACTCGCTAAAAACTGCGGTGCTAGTTAACATATATGTGACAGTTTGGAGTGTATTGGTCACCAATTTAAGCTATCTCACGGGACTTTTGACACTGGATTATTCTCTCAAAAGGGCAGGATCAAAATATCCCCTGGTAGCTCTATATACGGACGCCCTACCTTCTGAGGCCCTTGCTGCCCTAGAGGCCAGAGGGATACCAACACGGCATATACCATTTCTTCTTCCTTCAGACAATAAAGACTACAGTAATGATGCCCGTTTCTACGATTGCTGGAGTAAGCTGGCATCTTTCTCATTAGTAGAGTATGATCGGGTTGTTCAATTGGACAGTGACATGCTAGTGTTACAAAACATGGATGAGTTGATGGACCTGGAGTTGGATGACGCTAGGTTGGGTGGTCGGGGCCAGAAAGTGTTTGCTGCATGTCATGCTTGCGCTTGTAACCCATTGAATAAATCACATTATCCAAGAGATTGGTATGTTGTCTGCCCCTAAAATAGATATCCCTGCTTATCGTGTTTCTTTTAGGCTTCCAAAAAACTGTGCATATAGCAGTCAACACGATACTCCTGATCAAGCACAGATCCAAGGCCCACCTCCAACAATTGGAGCGTCAATGCTTAACGGAGGCCTCCTCGTCCTTAATCCATCAGAGGAAATATACAACCCTATTATCTGCCAGCTTCAAGACCCTACGGCAACGAGACGGTATGCCTTTGCTGATCAGTCTCTTCTTTCGGACCTTTACCAAGGCCGATGGGTGCCTCTTCCATATATATATAACGCGCTTAAGACCATGCGATGGCCAGGTATCCATTCACAAATTTGGAGAGATAATAAAGTGAAAAATATTCATTATATACTGAGTCCAAAGCCTTGGGAAGAAGAAGGACTGGTAATTTGGGAAGAGAAGCACAATAATAAAGACCCTGTGCTACATGGAACACACGATTGGTGGTACAAATTTAACAATGAACGGTTGGATATGGAGAAGGCGAATGTGATAATTACGGATGGTTTTTGAAGCTGTATTCAACTTGCTACTATGTACCATATCCAAAATATAGCTATGAATCCTATAACTTACGAGGTAGTTATGGAAATGTTCGTCCTCAAGCTATGTCGGTAGCGATAAGCTGGTGCGGTTAACATTCTTGGTCAAACCATATGTTGAGTACCTTTCTTCAAAATAACAACCTTTGATCGCGGTTAAGATCCTTCCGCCCTTACCGTTCCTACCTTCTGCGGTGTCCTGACAAGATTCATACCCTCGAGATATTGATCTTTCAGCTACTGCCTTTGGCGGTGTCAACTTCACCATGGACACCTTCACGCCATCAGCTTCAACCTCGTTTCCATAGTCCTGAGAAATATAGCAAGTTTTTTTAAAAAGTTTGATAGGCACTTGACACACTGGCCTCGATACGCTCGGGCATACTATCCCGGAGGAAATGTCGCTTGGGTATATACTATGGAATCCTTTAAGGGCCACGCTGGCAAGGTTATACTCTCCATTTTCCTTGCCTAGGCGTCTTATCCATTGACTAGAAGCAATTTTTCGGCTGGGTAAGAGGGGTAGGTATCATACGCATAAACAGAGTTAAATACTATACAGTTTTGTACATGAGTGAAGAATTCACTGGGAGCGTCATGCCTCAGAGGACACACCTAACCGCACTAGCGGCGCATTTCGCACTTTTCTTTCATGTATTCCACCAGGGATCCTCCAGTATCTCTTCTATAGTTGGCCGCTTAGCAGGGTCAAGGTTGAAAATTCTGAGTAGCATGCGCTTCGCCTCGGAGTCAAGATTAGGGTAGTATTTCTCCTTCCACCCTGTAAAGCGTCCTGGCCCAACAGGGCCTCCATCCATTGTTGAATCCGATATAACCATCATGACCTTACCCCAGTCATCATCTTGGATATGTGCCACCAGCTCTGCAGGTACTGGTCCGAAGTATGATATCAATCGGCCCATAACCTCAAGCTCCGGCTCAATACCATCTCTCCTCAACTGTTCAAAGTCGGGGTGCAGTGTTTCAACACTAGTTGTTGCGAAGAGACACTATAGGTATTAATGATAAGCACCCTAAAGTGAGAAAAGTATACTTACTACGAGTCCGTAGGAAAACACGTCGGATGCTTTACCGATACCCTGTCCCGTCTGCGCTTCTGGACTCCGCCACATAGTATTTCCTAATTTTATCCCCTTGGGTAGTCGCAGAAGTTTTTTGTCTTTTAGCTTCAAGGAGCAATCAAAGTCGCTGAGCATGACTCTTTCTGGTCTAAGTTGGCCATCTTTATCCCAATTATAATCAACCATAACATTGTCGGGCTTCACATCTAAAACCATGCAAATTAGTATCATACTATTATGCAATTATCGCAACGAAAGTAGCACCTATGTGTATCCAGTTCTTCGCATGAAGCTCTTCTAGAGATTTCCCAAGCTCCTGCAATATCCATTTTCTCGCCTGGAGTGACATGCTTGGATTATGTTTCACCAACGAAAGTAAGTCATCATTCAAGTATTTATAGACAAGAACTCGTTCGGTCACATTATCATCAACATGCATTCGAAGATGGTGTGCCCCTGGAAACTCAAGTTTAAGTTCCAGAGACTGTTCAAACATAGAGTCAGATACGCGCTTTAGGACAAAATCTTGATTCTCAGAGCTAAATTATGAGCCAAATACCGTAAAACACGATGCCAGTTAGCTCACCGTGCGAGGTAGACGTTGAGGTCTGGTCGTTTCGGATGTTGTTTGAGTGTCTTGCCCTGTATATACTCTCGGCCAGAGCGACCAACAAGCGTCGAAGACATCCTCACGCCTCTGATGCAATACGAGCGACGAAGAAACATCGTGCCTGGTTTACAATCTTGTCTCGCGGTTCATACATTGCTTCGGATTTTGTGATGAACAAGAAACACTTTGATAGGAGTATTGATTAGTCATCTATGGATATATCACGTGATATTATAACAGATGACTAAGCGTATACATTAAACTTCTTGGTTTGTTTGAGAATATTTGATCCTTTATCAAAGGCAGACTCTGTTCGACAAAAAAAATATGAGACGGCCTGCATTGCAAGCTCTTCAGTCCGTTGGGGGGCATGTTCGGCCCCTAGCTACGGCGGGAGATGGTTCGTTTGCAAATGATAGCCAAATGCTGGGGACACAGATTAGCTGATGCAGTGCATAGCTCATGGAAATGGGCTTTTTGAATATACCCGCGGGCGTTTTATCTTCAATGTAAACGAACAAACGTCGAAACGCCGCATCCGATTTAATATGCAGGAGCTTGCATCTGCCGCAGCAAGGTCAGTGGATGCAGCGAGATGCATCAATATCCAACGGTGCCCTGATGGTCTTTATAACAAAGCATTCATCCTCACCATGGACAATGGCAAGGATATTGTTGCAAAAATACCTAACCCCAATGCCGGTGCTCCGTACTATACAATTGCCAGCGAAGTTGCAACCATGGATTTCGCGCGTACTGTGCTTCAAACTCCTGCGCCGCGGGTGTATGCGTGGAATGCTTCTGCCGATATCAACAGTAACCCAGTTGGAGCCGAATATATTGTCATGGAGAAGATTCCTGGCGTCCAGCTATCAGATATCTGGTGGGGCCTGCAGCTTAACCAAAAGCTCAAAATCTTGATTCAGGTTGCACGTTACATGAGAAGGTGGACAAGTGTGGGTTTTGACAAGCTTGGAAGCATATACTATCCCGAAAGCATGGGTACACCCTTAAATGAGGTTCTCTACTCTGAAGAGGGAAATTCTGTCCACAATACCCGGTTTACTATCGGACCTAGTACCAATCGTGAATGGAGTGATGGAGGTCGGCAAGATATGAAGTGCAATAAGGGCCCATGTAAGGGACCTCACCCATATCTATTACATCACTGCTGCTAATATACATTGGTCTAATCAGGGATGTCTGTCACTGATTACCGAAAAGCAATTGGAGACCGCGAGACAATGGCTGTGAAGACACTAGGCCATGTACCGAAACAGCTGGCGATTTTATATGGCCCTGGGCCATTGTACCAACCTTCCGCGAAAAAGAAACTTGAGGCATTACGGTACTATTCGCAAATTCAGCAAATATTACTACCTGATGATCCCTCCCTTACCACCGGTCATCTTTGGCATAACGATCTACATCATGAGAATATATTTGTTGACCCTGACAGTCTTGAGATACAAGGAATAATTGACTGGCAATCCCTCCAGATTGCACCCCTAACCGATCATTGTTTAGACCCCTCTTTTCTTGAGTACGAGGGGCCTGATGTGGGTGATCACCTCGAAAAGCCTGAGCTGCCAAACGAGATCAAGACACTTAAGGGCGAAGAAAGGGCGGAAGCCGTAGCACAATATCTCGACAAAGCAGTGATGGTTGCCTGGCGTCGACTTGTCAGAGATAAGAATCCAGCTCAACATCGTGCCATCAAGTTCCAGCAATCGGCAGCCGGAAACCTCTTGCATCTTTCCCGTCGAATATTCGAAGTAGGTGAACCTCATTTCTGCGCGCTACTGCTGGACTTGCGGGATGAATGGGCAAATTCCGGAATTCCCGGTTTCCCGCTCAAGTTCTCTGATGCAGAGGTTGCCTCGATAGAAGCAGACGTGGAACGAGCGGAGCTGGGTGTCAGAACCATGAAGTCGATTGAGCAGCGACTCGGAAATTTATGGCCGGAGAGAGGTGTGGTGGAACATGAAAACTACGAAGCGGCAAAGGAAGCTCTACAACAGATGAAGGATGAGATCATCAATGAGTTCAAGACACACCCTGGCTGGGACACGGCAGTCTTCGAGGCATTATGGCCATTTGATTCCTAATTATTATTTGGAGAGGTTGGATGTACTCGATATATATCAAGGTAAACTATGTTCAATGATCATCATGTCTTTGAACAACAAATCACTGGTAACCAACCAAGCCCGTCTAACAGTCTATCTATAAAAGATCGTAACCCCATTACTGGTTTTGACCAAAGCAAACGACAGACATCGCACCACCAGCCAGCTCTTCCACTGTTTGACATCCCTCCACTATGCCATCCTTGGTCTCGGACTCTTGTGCACAATCGTCGTCCCTATATCTTGTTAGCCCCATTGTCTTTCTCAGGCGATAGTGGCACATGGTTGAGACGTACGTGTATAGGAAACAGACGCTATGCTTAGCAGTGAAATTGATGGAACTGTTTTATTGAGATATCCGCAGTTAGTTTAATATCATATGCGAGGCGGCTTAAAGATGATATAACATACGTTTCATTAATAAAAGTACAGTCACCATCAATCAGGGTAATATAGTAATTAGACTGGCATGCATCGTCGCTATGGAAGTACCCCTATTACTACTGCGTTAGAACTTGTAACTAGTAAAGTACGAGGAACACCTTTGGACTTACAATTGGGTCTCCTTTATCAGCACGCACCAAGGCGGCGGCCAGAAGCAGGGTAGCTGTGAAGAAACGCATGATGCAGTTATGAGATTGAACGATATATAGCTAGTTAAGCAGGAGAAGAATGTGTGTATGAATACATGGGGAGGGAGGGAGGGTAACTAACAAGCTATATATAACATGATTAGCCCCTGTCATGACTGAAATTTAAGGCACATAACCTGGTGCTAGGATCCAGCACATAAATACAGCGATCCTATTTTGGGGAGCATCCACCGATACTTTATTGGATAAATTAAACATTGCTCAATATTGAGATGATGCTTTACGTGGCGCCAGCTCATCGTTAGTGGGCGCCACGACGAGATCTTATCTAGTTACTCATAGATGAGTTGGAGAAATATACACGGATGCTGGGGATCAATCTAGCTGCCTGCCTGAGAGGAATTATTAAAGCTACCTAACATCGAGTACCCTGTACATGTATGTGTGTATATGCAACCTACGCTGCGTTGCATTTCACAGACAGATTGGAAGGATCAGTCAATGCTTCAAAGGACTGACACTGTTGCGCCTCGATGACAGATTCCGAACAGTCATATGTACTGTGTTTTCTGTCAGTATACCAGAGACTGGAATAGAAGAGCGTCACAAACGTACGAGTATAATTGGCATTTAACAGCGACACTCGGTAAGAAAGATCTATAGATAGTTGTTTGTTAGCTGCGAATCGACTGGTTGCGGTATGGGTAACGTACCGAGTAGAGTTATATGGTATGCACTCGTCGTCGATGAGGTTCTGTATAACTACACCGTGCAGGTGCTG